ATTGTAACAGAGGAGCCTGCAGGCAGCTCTCCTGCTTGCTACCAGCAATTACGCCACCGGCCTGGCCCTGCCCTTATCTACATGTGCAGCAGGAAGTTCGAACATCCTTTTGGAACAGAATTGTGTTCCTGTAAGAAAGTGTGCAATAGCTCACCAAAAAGGGAAGGGGGAGCTTCCCTTCACGGACAGGATCTGCGCAGTGTGCCATGGGGAAATCCACCCCGGGTCTGTCCAGCGCTGCGTGAACGCGGGGTGCCCAGCGTCTGAAGGGACGTTAGATTTACTCGCTGTCTATATTCCTCTTCTTATTCTGTCTTATTAAAACAGCTGTTTTATTTAGCCATTTGTTGTCAGGCCTTTCTTATTGAGATCCAATACCCTGCACCATCTCTCTTGCACACAGGTGATCCCGGGCAGGCCACTGAGATGCGCACATCTTGGTGCTGGTGAATATATGGATAAGGCAGCGCGAGGGGGCAAAATCCATTTATTTTGAGATTTGTGAAATAACATCACATTCCCCTTCCTTAAGATCTTTCTGAGTTTTGTTATACTAATTTCCTGTGGAGACATTTAGGAAAGATAGTAGCTCCCAAGTCCCACAGAGTTACTACTGTTCACCTAACCACCATGCTAGAAGAACACAGTGCAGCTCAGCAACTTTGCCAGCCCCCTTCTGAAAAGGGGGGACGGGGGCTCAGCAACTTTGCCAGCCCCCTTTTGCCAAGGCAAAACTAGCAAGACTCACAATCCAAGGGTGACACTGAGGAGCAGCTACAATTACCAGTCACTCGGGAGCTCATATTCGGCTTGCAGATTAACTGCGCTGTGGATGCAGAGAGCTTAGCTGGCTCCATGCAAAGTCTGGCTGGGTTCGTTAGCTGAGGCACAGCACTGCCTCCTCAGGTCTGGAAACATTACAAACACTTTCACAGGACACCAAGCATAAGCTAACAAGGACCAGAGGTGTCTAGAGAGAGCTCTGCAGAGACTCTGCAGACATGTTTCTGAGACTAGGAGCCCAGGGGAGCAGGGGGCAATGACATCCGAGTGACTCCTCATAGACCCATGAAGGGACCAGCTCTCCCTCAAGGTGAGCTACGCCACACTCTGCATGCCGGCAGCACTCTGTGGTTTAGGAGGCCAGGTTACCTCAGGCTCAACACTGCTTGGATGCACAGAGCCAGCTTTGGC